ATTTAGCCCTTGTCAAGACTAATTCCTGCAACATGTCGGTTTGACGTGGCCTCTTCATTTGGCCTTTAAATGCATCGCACACATACTGCTCATGTGCTGTGGATATTTATGCTTCAGTTTTTGTATATTGAGATAAACTTCTTTGCATGTCGTTTTGGGTGTCCCCTACATCTCAATTTCAAAAAGGAATGAGCAATTATCGTATCAAATCCCGTCGAACATACTTTTACCCCCAATAACATTAGAATCAAGAAACTCATTTCCTTTGACATTTTCAGGAGTTCTTTTGGATGGTTTTTGTTTGACGCTGCAAATATTTCTGATTTGAGAAAAATGGTGAATTTCTTGATGCTGATCGTTCATCTTTCAGGTATAATCATACATTTCATAAACAAATAGTCCTTTATCGACAATCAGGACAAACACCAAGTGTACCTATGAAAATATTATCCCTCATTTGATCCAGACATGTAGGGGGATGATTCAACTCATTATCATGGATCTTGTCGTGTTCAAGTTTAATAATATAACCAGTTCTACAAAAAACAATCTAAAGAAAATGTCTTTTTTGTATGGTACGTCCATGATGATTTCTTGATTCATAATATAAACAAATTGTTGATAAAACACTCTGAAACTCAAATTAGGGAGGAACCTTTATTTTCAATTAATTTATTAAATAATCAATTTATCTTCACTCCAAATACACAATGGTAACATTAAAAAAACCCATAGATTTAACAAATGTTATTTGATTCCCTTTGTTTGCAAGAAATCTAACATGGATACAATGTGTGAAGCCCATTTTCTGGTGTCCCCCACCATGATATTGCTGAAATATTACTAAAAGTGGCTTTAAACCATACTCTCTCACTCACTTCACTCCATGAAATCTAGTGTTAGTTATTTCCCATCAATCAACATCTTCATTAACTGTTTACCTAGAGTTGCAAAAATCTATAGAGCAATAATTATAAGTTTTAATAATAAGTTCTAGATTATGTAAATAATAAGAACAAGTTGTCCCTATAAGAGGACCCATGAAGATTCCGGGGTAGAATAGGTCTTCAGTAACCCATACTTGCCGTAAAAGGCGACTATGCTTGTCGTACAAGGCGACTAACGGGATCCGGTGGCAAGGCTCACTGGCTTGGTTGATTCATGTCATCGATCCCAATTGCGTGGATCGACGCTCATGATATTAATCACTGGATTGTCTGGTCCAGACTTGATTATTTACAGACCGCCGTCATATAGCTGGAATATTGCTGAGTGCAGCGTTAAACAACAAACCAACCAACCAACCCTATTAAGAGACTGGCGTCCCCTGTACAGTCCACATATCTAGACTTGCCTATTTGGAGGATAGACTTACTACACATCCATGGATTTTTCTTTCAGTGCAGCCTTGGAGCAAGACTTGTGTTTATCAAAAGAAATCTGTTCTCAGGGTACAGTTGTCTTCCTGTAAGACCTGCAATGTTGACTACCGTTTAGTCCCAGAAATAAAGGGATCTTGTTTAAAAATACATATCTACAAAATAATCCAAATGGAGCTCAGAACATAATGCTTAATTTCAGGAGAAAGGGGATCTTGATTTGTGAAAAATATTTTAGACATGAATGAGTGAGTGATTAAGGTTTTACGCCGCTTTTAGCAATATTCCAGCATTATCACGGCGGGGGACACCAAAAATGGGCTCACACATTGTACCCATGTCGGGAATCGAACCCGGGTCTTCGGCGTGACGAGCGAACACTTAAACCACTAGGCTACCCGACCACCCCTATTCTAGACATGAGTTGGGATTATTTTGTAATTTCTTCTCTTGGGTCTGGGAGACGGAAACATGCAATGATAAGCATCTGTATATCACAATACATCGAGTGCAAGCAGGGGACACTAAGAATGGGCTTCACACATTGTACCCATGTGGGGAATGAAGTCATCTTCAGCTGAAAGGGAAGACCTAAAGTTAGGATTCCATAGGTATGGATTCTTATGCAGAATGCAGCAAAATATGAAAACAAAGTAAAATTGATTACACAATTCTATACGCCCGGATGCGGATGCGATTGAGAGATTCTGCCACATCCGCACATAAACTGTGGGAAACCCTGAAAGTGATGTCATTATTGAAGTCTATACCACATACAAAAGTCCCCAACATAAAACAGCACATGTGCAAATTGGTCTCTGGTCAACCTGCAGTATTGCAAAAACTATTCTCCCCCCTACTGTAACTCTTTGACCAGGCTACTGTAGGCTCCCTGTGGAGCCGTGTTTGTCAATATGTTGTGGACCCACCAGCTGTTCTTTTTCTTCTTCTTTTTGACTGCAATAATTAATATGCCATGGTGATAACTATGATAACTCTGCAACCTGGACAAAGTTTGGAGCTTATGATGTTCTCAGCAAATAACTCAGAGGAAACTAACAAAATTGTATCGCTAACCTATAAATGGGTTCGCAGAAAACTCATTCCACGTAAGAATCTGTACCTATGGAATTCTAGCTTTAACCATTGAGCTTCTCCACCACACATAGGTCTGTAACAGAGACTTAATGAGTCAGTGACTTATGACTTGGGTACATGTCTTAACCCTGTGAAGATATCAACCCTCATTATGATATCATTTGTTTCCTATCACAGCCCCACAGAAATGTTTTCAGGAACCCAGTGTCAATATTCAGAACCAGACACCAGAAAAGAACATCTATCCAGCATGAAGAAACTCAACTTGACATGCAACATTCAAATAACTCCCTCCATAGCTCCTATTTCACCTGTGTTGACACATGTCAGGAACTATACTATTTACCTGAGGACAGTGGTCGGATATTCAGACAACTCAAATTGTGTATGAAATACTCATGTATAAAATGGATTTAGTCCGTGTGTAACTGAAACACATTATATACTCCATATCAATATCATTAAACAAATAAATTGTGTTTCAACTAAGCTGGTGGGTAGGCTAAGGTTCATTGATGGGGTTTAGTAATGAGAGACAGTTGTCCCAGCAGTAGTATATGCAAACACAGGTTGACACATGGTAACCTGTGCCCTGTGATCACAGCCAGTATACATCACAGTCAAGACCACCTACGAGAGAGGTGTTGATGTCGTGCAACAACACTTAATTCTTGTTTTTGTGTTGTATTAAGTTTTTCATGCTGCGCCATTGAAAGGAAAAACATGTAAAATGATGGTCTATGCTCTGTGGTCCCAAGCCAATTTCAAGGCTAGATCTAGACAAGCTTAGAGCACTGTGTGCAACTGAGACATTGTCTCTGTGTAATGGGGGTAACTGGTCAATCTTAGACTACATACAAAAAAAATGGAGAAAGAAGGTGCGTATTGACTTACTTTAATCTAATATCCTAAGACTGACAATTGGCCCAAGCACAATCCCTGCTTAAAGATATGGTTAGCATTGACATAGCTAGTGTATTGTTTTATATGTGCTGTCAAGGTACAAATGACAGTTCTCTGGTGGCCAAGCGGTCTAAGGTGCTGCTATTTGCTGTGCGGAGTTGTGTCCCTTAGTTGAAAGGATCTGCTGAAGATGGGTTTGAATCCATATTGTGATGGGTTTGCATTGTAGCGATGAAGGGAATTGAACCCTGATTTTTTCATGACTAGCAAATGCTTACCCAATGGGCTACCCAACCGGCACTGCAACAGGTCTTAGACATTTACTATTTTGTAAAAAACCTACAGTTATGGTGCTGACAGACCAAGGATCATAACAGGAATGATTTGGGGATTCAAACCACTGGATCCTGTCTCATCAAAGGGATGCAACTCTGTAAAGTGAATTCCAACACCTATTACTGTTGGCCCACCTGTGCCCAAGTAACCATAAAGACCTACAAGCAAAAGAATGGCGTGATGAAATAAAAATGATTCAATTACATGACATACTGAGATACACCCATTCCCCTAACATGAAATCCCCCACAGCATTTAAGAGGCAGGTATCCCTTTCCTCATTCACCCCAAAAATGCCCACAACACAGGATGCACAGGATCTTAATTCAAGAATTAATCGTTTGGGTGAACCCACCTCTGGATCACTTTACACCAGCAGGTGCAAGAACAACAACAGTTCATCCACCCATCTCATCCCCTTCCCATATCAACATCCGACAGATCCCCTGTGCAAAATATGATAGAGCGAACATGGGCTTATTACGACATTGTACATACCAGGGCACTTTGTCGCTGAGCCCTCGACAGAAAAAGTTAATGCACTGAGAGTTGCTGTAAGGCCATGCAACAACACAGGTAGTTGTTGAGATAGGGCTGTGAAGGTAGCTACGCAGGAATGTCGCCACTTGAAACTGTCAAACTGTAGTCCTACTATCATACAAAAAACATTTGTCTCCTCCAAGTGAGAGATTTTATGATTATATTACAAATACTCCAGCGATAAGTAGTCCACAACAGAAAGAAACTTCACAGATTTTCTAAGTAATAGCATCATGAAAGAAACTGCTCCCTAAATCTAAATTTAGTTCAGTAAATATACAAAACATTCATTTTTTCAATTGCTTTTAAATAAGATTTGAGAGTTTATTGACGCAACCACTTAAAAACAGATGCCAAGTCAACAGTCAACAGAAATAACTTTTTATTAAGTGATCCATTGTATTGTAAAAAAAAGATAATTCCTTTCTGAGTCAATATTAATGTTGTACCCTTAACTTCTCATGGTCATGAGTTTGGAAACTATTTTTATGATTAAGATCCATAATTTTACAACATCCAATAAAAAAATCTTATGATCAACTGAAAATCCATATGACTGATAAGTTGTTTCACAATCTTATTAAACTTGATATTACCAAAATATTCATTACACTGATTTATGCTTTCAGAGGTTAATATTTGCAGTGCAGAACAAACCCCAGTCAGACAAGACCTATAAACCCTGTTACCATTAATAAAACAGTTCTTGTTGAATCCTTTCAAGCTGCTAACAAGTTAACTCACCTTGTTAACGAGCAAGCTGTCCCCCGGGCAGGTGAGCGAAATTGTGTAGCTCCTCGAAAGACACCAGGTGAGTGGCACAAGGAAAGAGGAGATGCTCGAAAGCTCTTAAAATAATGGCAGGATCATTTATCACTCCTGTCATTATCATACGATTAACCCAGCTAGCCCCATCTTTCTGAGCGAGGCGATCTCGCTCTGGACCACCAGCCTGTCTCCTGTATTCATACACACGTTTAGAAACGGGAGGCCTTGGCGAGACTTCAGTGTACGCAAAGCATGCTCAAGTACGAAGATTTTTATTGACAACTCAGAAGAAAATTACCGTAATGTAACACCCTGTATGACAGACATGCTGCAATCAGTTGTGAGGAAACTATCTTGCTACCCTTCGTGGATAGGGTGGAACTGACACATATCATGACAGACATTATTATCTTCATAATCAAACACGATTAAATTCAAACATATGGTTGTCAAGCATTTCAACATGGAAATCATGTACATGTAAGTGCGTAGTATAGGCCACATCTATCACTTGCAACAGAAATAGCAACTTGCTTCGTATTGCATTTTCCGTGCAGAAATGTCGTTTTTTTGCATCCGTTAAGGAGGATAACACCTGTATGTTGCGGATCCTGGCTCCAATATGCAGTAAATATTCACAGAGCATGGAGGCGCTTGAGAGTAAGTTACACCAACTTGTTGATCTAAGAGTTGAGATGCTCAGGACCTCCGTCTAACCTAACTACAGCACTTCCCGTTCAGACTATTCTCTACAACAAACCCTGTGTGGGTTCTTGAAGAAGTCCCCAGTACCTCATGCAAGCTGTAAGAGGCAAATGAACTGAGGATTGAGTGGTTATAATTTATGACCTGCATCTGTTCCACAAAGCAGAGTTATAGTTCTACATTTGTTGTAAGTGTGTGATAAAGTGAGCTCTCGTTGTGAAGCAGGACCCTGGAGGAGTGTGTGTTGTTGTTGTGGATGTCATCATCCCCCAATGGGGTTGCTCCTGGCTCATGCTATCAAGAACTGGTTTGTCTGGTCCAACCTTATCCTTTAAGTGAGTGAGTGAGTATGATTTTACACAGCTTTTAGCAATATTCCAGCAATATCACGGCTGGGGACACCAGAAATTGGCTTTACACTTTGTACCCATGCATGTGGGGAATTGTGATGAGCGAGTGCTTTAACCACTAGGCTACCTCACTGTCCCCCTTATCCTGAGTGAGTGAGTGAGTGAGTGAGTGAGCTAGCGATTGAGCAAGCAAAATCTCAGTGACCTGTAAATGACCCAGGCAACCAGTGGTAGATAGCATGAACAACAAAGTAAGAGCAATGATCCACATTGCTGGGGTACAATGACCCACAATCAGGACACACTCTCATCCTCATTTGTTGGGTTTTAACAGCATGGAGAACTTGGGACTATTTTCTGGCCAGTGATATCCCTGGAGACCTGGTTTCAAGCCAGTGGATAAGGCTCACTATAACAACATAAAGTCTTGGATTGCAATCAGTCTCACAAAATGTCCTTTCACTAAATCAAAGCCATACATGGGCATTGCCAAACACGAAAAAATAAAGTCAGTGGGTGTCTGGACTCAATAAAGATTTTGACTTTAATATCTGCTTCAGGTGAGCTACAGTTACAGCTCTCTGTTTTCTACTAGGACATCATTTTTATTATCCAGTCTGTAAGATAAAGGCATAATTCATTCAATTTGTGGTTAAATGCAATTTTCACTCCTCCTATATGACAAATTTGACATAATAATTAAACTCGGATTCTAAATACGCAGAATATTAACACAATAATGTCAATCTGATCAGTTTATCCACTATCTTCTCCTTGGTTGGTAGATAACAAAGCGATATCACACACTTGGGCCACACAACCTTGTAAATCCTTCTCATCCAGTCATTGGACACAATAACAGGTTCCAGGGATCATGAGACCCAAACCTAAGACTGAATAAAGCTTCTATTACAGCCTGGTAATGAATACATCTAATTTTATGAATAGACACACACTTTGATACTTGAATTACCTTTTATAAAACATCCCAGAGAGCAGTGTAAAGGTGACAGTCTTATAAGTATCACAAACAAATATATTCACAGCAGGAGATTGTTGGTAGAGTCATGATGCAATGTCTGCACTCATTTTAAGATCATGTTCAATGCAGTGTTCACAGGGATTAAACATTGATGCACCAGATAATGTTTAATACAGCATGCTCCATGAATAGAGTCACAGCATTGTGAGAAAAAAGTGGATAAGTCTCAAATACTGACCATCAATGGATCTATCTTACTCAAGTTGGTTGGTTTGTTGTTTAACACCGCACTCAGCAATATTTCAGCTATATGATGGTGGTCTGTAAATAATCGAGTCTGGACCAGACAATCCAGTGATTAATATCATGAGCATCGATCCACGCAATTGGGATTGATGACATGCATCAACCAAGTCAGCGAGCCTGACCACCCGATCCCGTTAGTCGCCTTTTACGACAAGCATAGTCGCCTTTTACGGCAAGCATGGGTTGCTGAAGACCAGTCTACCCCGGATCTTCACGGGTCTATCTTTCTCAAGGCCAGACTTTGTCTATTTCTTGATTTACAGATCGCTTTTCTGAAAAAAGTAGGTCAGTGGAAAAAAACAAAAGAGATATTTGAGATTTATGTTTCTTTTCCCGCCAAGGTACATGCACATGTACGCAGTGTTTGCGAAGTCAACTATCTCAGCCCTGCAGATTTACAGTTTGGGAGCACATTTTTCTGGTGAACATTGAAGATGCATTTGGTGGGATGAAGGACAATAGCAATTTCAGATACTGTCAACATGTTTTACATGTATTGTCAATGAATAGCTTGTGGTAGTCACGATATGGCTGAAATACTGCCGATGTGACTTAAAATGTACCCACCCTTTCACAATCACACGTGAGGAATGAGAATGAGAATGAGTCCCTAGTGCTTTTAAAAGGCGAATCAGTGTCTTCTACAAAATGTAGTGAGTGAGTGAGTATGGTTTTACGCCGCTTTTAGCAATATTCCAGCAATATCACGGCGGGGGACACCAGAAATGGGCTTCACACAATGTACCTAAGTCGGGAATCGAACCCGGGTCTTTGGCGTGACGAGTGAACGCTTTAACCACTAGGCTACCTGATCGCCCCTCTACAAAATTTAATATAGACAAGAAAATATAGACTGTCATGTAAATGTTTTGTCTTGTAGGGGCGCTTAAAAAGATTACTTGCAGACTGGTCTAAATACAAAAGTTGGTAGGCTCTACTGGAAGAGGGCATTGAATACGGCAAATACGGTACTGACAGTAAAGAAATATTTGAAAGAATGACAAAAACTTAAAGTTAGCCATCATTCTGAACAAAGCAACACATATCTTGTGACCTTCCCAGTTGAAACAACAGAACATACAAAGAGTTCAAAGAATGCAAAGACAATGACATTTTGCTAAGGGGAAACAAAACAAAGATAAAAGATACAACAGGGCCCAAGACTGAGACATATTGCCTCCATGCCGGTCTAGGTGACCCTGACCGAAAGCGCCCAGTTGCATACATCATTCCTCACAACTAATTAACAAGGAAAGGGTGACCAGCAAAATTTCAAGTAAATACAGAATCATAAAAAAATCTAACTCCCTCAAATCAAATGTGTCTGACTACTACAAAACAGGAAATTACAGAGGTGACAAAGGAGCCGAGCATCTCCTTAGCATGGTTCTGGAGAGTTTCCACCACAAAGGGATGAGGGCATGCTGATTCAAGGGTACTGATTTGTATTTGTATTTATGATCTGGTCTAGCAAATATCTCACTAGAGAGCAAAGCCAAACCTGGTCCAGGAAATGTCTCACCCAACACTAAAACTACAATCTGGTCCAGGAAATGTCTCACCCAACACAACACTACAGTCTGGTCCAGGAAATGTCTCACCAAACACAACACTACAGTCTGGTCCAGGAAATGTCTCACCCAACACTAACACTATACTCTGGTCCAGGAAATGTCTCACCCAACACTAACACTACAATCTGGTCCAGAAAATGTCTCACCCAACACTAACACTACAATCTGGTCCAGGAAATGTCTCACCCAACACTAACACTATACTCTGGTCCAGGAAATGTCTCACCCAACACTAACACTACAATCTGGTCCAGAAAATGTCTCACCCAACACTAACACTACAATCTGGTCCAGGAAATGTCTCACCCAACACTAACACTACAATCTGGACAGGAAATGTCTCACCCAACACTCACACTACAATCTGGACCAGGAAATGTCTCACCCAACACTAACACTACAATCTGGTCCAGGAAATGTCTCACCCAACACTAACACTACACTCTGGTCCAGTAAATGTCTCACCCAACACAACACTACAATCTGGACCAGGAAATGTCTCACCCAACACTAACACTACAATCTGGTCCAGGAAATGTCTCACCCAACACTAACACTACAATCTGGTCCAGGAAATGTCTCACCCAACACTAACACTACAATCTGGACCAGGAAATGTCTCACCCAACACTCACACTACAATCTGGACCAGGAAATGTCTCACCCAACACTAACACTACAATCTGGTCCAGGAAATGTCTCACCCAACAGCAACACTACAGTACAGTCCAGTAAATGTCTCAGAAAAAGGAGAAAAAGAAATTGAAGAAAAAGAAGAAACCTTTATTGCTCACAAACACCCACAGAAATTCAGGGTACAAAGCATGAACATGACTAGTTATAAACTTTTGAAACATACAATGTTACAGAAAAAATGATGTGTTAAGGTCTAGACAAGAGATGCAGATTTTCTTTGCATTAACATTTTGTAAATGAAAGAGGACATCATTTTTGCAAAAGGCACTGGTGGATATAGAAGTATTTTAAGTGATATTGGATGTAAAGCTAATTTCTTAAGTCATCAATAGGAAGTAAACAGGCTGCCAACTGGCACGTCTCACACTGCTTGAACCAAAACTCTTTGTTAAGAGCCATAAAGGTAAAAAATAAACATTTATAATACATTATCACATCACCCATCAGTCATAAACCCTGTATACCATGTTCCTGTCTGGAGTAGCTGTTCAGGCCTTGAGAACAAGGTCAAGGTCAGGCAATATTTATATCATCTGTAGATCTCCCTAACTTTAAACTGGGAAATACAAACAAAATATAACTGCA